ACTACTACTACTACTAACGACTGCTACTACCGCGACGACGACGACGCCTACTGCAATAACTTTTGCGGCTGCTGCTACGATGACTATTTGCGACTAAGACCACGACGAAGACCACTACTACCACTACCGCGGCGACTATCAACTCCTTTCCGTTCCAGCAACAACAACTGCGACGTCTATTGCACCCACTAGTCACAAACGCCGCCACCGCCGCCACCACCCCAGCACCACCGGCACCGGCACCGGCACCGGCACCGGCGCCGCCGCGGCCACCACCGCCACCACCACCACCACCACCAGCACCAGCACCAGCACCAGCACCAGCACCAGCACCAGCACCACCACCACCATCACTATTCTTGCTGCTGCTGTAGTGCTGCTGCTGCTGCTGCTACGGCCACCGCCGCTGACCATTGACTACCACGAGCAACCATCAACCAGTAACGACAACTACCACCACCACTACTGCTACTACTGATCCCGATACTGCTGATACTGCTGCAACTGCAACAAACAACAACAACAACCACAACCACAACCACAACCACAACCACAACCACAACCACAACGACAACGACAACGACAACAAGAAGAACAAGAACAAGAACAAGAACAAGAACAACAACAACAGCAACAACAAAACTACAACTACAACTACAACAACAACAACAACAACAACTACTACTACTACTACTACTACTACTACTGCTACTGCTACTACTACTACTACTACTACTACTACTGCACTGCCCGCTACTAGCAGTAGTACCAGTACCAGTATCGCTACTCCTTCTTCTACTAGCAAAAAACATCAACATCAACAACAACAACAACTACTACTACTACCACCAGGACTGTTGCTACTCCTGCGGCTACCACCAATTACCACCACCACTACTGCTGCTCATGTTGCTGCTAGTGACCTCTAGTGCTGTTAGAACACCGGCTGCTACTCACTGCTGCTATGTCGACGGACAGGAGCGAGTCGGTGCATGTTCCGACCCTGTCTGCATCACTTAAAGCTTCGAGCCTTGGATGTTTTCCGTGTGGGATCGTCCGTCCTCGCGCCGTTGCGATTTCAGACACATCTGACGCTGCGCTGCATTCTGTGCTCGCCAAACGTTTCGCCCAATGCAGCTTCAGAGTGAAGGATGCATTGTAGCACATGCAAGCCGACATGGATGCAGGACTGAACGGCTCAAGACTCTTCCGTGGCTGAGGTTTTCGGAGGGTTAGTGGTTTATCCGTCAAGCTCCTGTCATAATTCGCCGGAACTTCAACCTCGTCAATTGCAATGAGATGTCGTCATAAGCTGCTGTGCACCCCATCAGCAAAGCATAGCAGCCGAGGACCGGACACATTTCATCACCACCTCTTGTGACTGTCGGCTGGTTTCATCTTTCGAAACACTGACCCGAGCAGTTGCGCAAATGAATCTCCAACATGCTTTTCAGAATTACTTTGGGCGAGCCGCATCTGTACCCTTCCACGTGGCCAGGTAGAGCGTGCTCTTGAGCGTTCGGCTGAGCCTCAGATTGGTGATTGGTGTGCTCAAGGGTTCCGTGCCCTGCAAGTCCGAGAGCATTGAGTGCTCTTCTCCTTAGAGCCTGGGAAGGTTCCAGGTCCTGCTCTGCCAGGAAGCTCCTTTTGCATTTCCAGCTCGTCTCGACGAAGCTTCCACCGAGAGTCTGCTGCCCGACCAAGCAGCCTGCCGTACAAGTACAGTCGAAGCGGGGCAGTACTGATGAGGTTGATGGTTTCTGAAGTGCCAACAGGAAGTGTCAAATAGGTGCCGCCAAGTTAGCACAAGGCCCAACGCTTTATGGACCCAGCCTGCTTCTGCGACCCATTGTGGTGCAGGATGTGTCCTGAATCTCAAGATGCATGTGAGGCCAGTGAATTTCATTGCGGAGCCTATCTGTGACGCTCGAAGCAACGGCGATGGGCGTAGGCAGAAAGCCCGCGGTCCCTCGCAAATTCCAGACCCTGCCAGGCCTTTTGAGATTCCGCGCCGGCGGAGTCGGCTGTGGACAGCGACTCCTTCCGGGTGCCGTTCAAATGCAGTACAGAAACTTGTGACAGGCCACATGGGTGTCTTGACATATTCAGGTTTCTGGTCGAAGCTGCCATGTGAACTGAGCGCAGGACACTCGCCACACGGCCCGCAAGGCTTGCTCTTCGGATCCCTTCGCACTGTTGCTTTCTGAAGTCCTTCGTGTGCACCGGTATGTCGACGACTTCGACCTCCTTGTATCTTGTTCATGCATCTTCATTGGGCCAAGCATGCAGCACGAACCAGTAGCACTTGTCACACGTCCAATGCTCTAGACTCTAGCCTGTCTGTCGCACCTTGGTCTCACTCATATCGCTGACTCGAGACTGTTGGATGAGGAGGTTCTCCTGGCAAAGATGTGAAATCTTGGAAACGACACAGGATTCATGCTCCGATCAATCGGGACTCTTTTGCGAACCTTGCAGATAGAAGGAAATATGGCTGCAAAAAACCAACCAACGTGCGTGGTTGCAGAGTCGTAGTGCAAACCAAGAGCTGACACGCGCCCCACCACCTCGTCGCTGAGGACTGGCATTGCATTGACGGAGATCTGGCTGCTGTGACGGGAGGGTATCTCCTGACAGATCTCTCGGTGTCATTCGTTTCAATATGTGAGTGTTGACCAATGTTGATCAAAATTCCTACATCTTGATTAGGTATCTATATGAATCTTGCCCTCTTTTCAAGGGACTTTCGCTGCGACATGCTTGTGATAGTTCGGCGTGGTCGTGTCGTTGTCGTAGTACAGTGGTAGCATCAGGAGTATCAGCACTGGTCGCAGCAGTACATAGCAGGAGCCGTAGCAGTAGGAGTAGCAGCGACAGTACCAGTAGCACTAGTAGTAGTCGTGGTTGGTATCTCAATTCGCCCCGAGCCAGACAATGCATCATTCACACCATAGCATAGTGGAACAGGTTCTCCTCTACCACCCACGTGGTCTCGTTTACTGCAACAACAAGAGGGGTTGATTTCGTGGTGTTGGCACGGTGGTGTCGGCGGGTGCCGGAGGTAAGCGGCAGGGCAGCGGCCGGAGACAGGCTGATGATGACGATGCAATCTCAATGAGTGCATCTGGCAGCTGCGTCTTTGCCCTCCTTGCAACCCGGTCAAGCCTCAGTTCTGCCTTTGAGTCTACTGTGGCATTAACAGGCTTCAGACTGTACCCCCGCGGAATGACAGTGTGTTCTTGATAGGTCTTCTATATCGCGTGCTAAGCCAAAAAACTTCTGCTTCACATTGCCTCACACACAGCGCCCTATGTCAATTAATGGCATGCGCCGATAGATCAATGCTCATGTCCCTGCACGTACGACATTTGTCAGTAGGAACTACCGCGCTAGTCAGAATTTCCGCTGCGCGCGTGCTGGCTTTGTCGCCACTGTCTCCAGTCCAAAGCGACATACACTGAATGCACACCGCATGACAGCCCCGGATCGGCCCTCCTCTGCCCCAACCACATGGGTCTGCTCCTGCCAATGGTCTCCGATGTCTCTCTGTGGTGGATTGTGGAGGCTGTCGTGACTTGAAGCTCCTCCGTGACTCCTGGATCTTCAAAATGGACAGCCTGGAGAGTTCAGAAAAAAATGAGGCGGGTCGACCTGATTCTCGCTAGAGGAATCGGCTGCACTTCGTTATCATTGCAGGTGTCCTGTCGTCTCATGCAACATCCCGGCCTTCGGGCTTGATGAGCTTTCGACACAGCACCAGAACATGGGTCTGACTATAAGAAACTGAAGCAAAGAGCATCTCCTTAATACGCTGGCTGCTCTGTGAAGCTCTTCTGGTTCTACATGGTTCTACTAGCATGCATGGCCATGCCCACTTGACGAGCACAGACAACGCCCGGTCGCATGTTCGCATGTTCTCTCTCATGGATACATTGGACGCTGCTTGTGAAACAAAGCGCTGCGGCGGGCGTAGCAGGACTTCAGTTCTCATGAAGCTCGAGGCAGATGCTTTGGATCTAAAAGTGAAGCCCGAAAAGCAGCGACTGAACATGAAGAATCTGTTCTGGTCATTTCTTTTGCCTTCAACTTGTCAGATCCCTGGATCCCCCCACACAGCGCTTCCGCTGTGCAGTGAAACTCTCACACATCTGTTGCCAATCGCTTTGCTTGGCTGTATCCTTCGTTATGTACATCAGTGAGGTCAGAAGTGCTGCAGCCGAATGCTTGCTAGGCGTATGCCAATCCGGCAGGCGATGGTCGGGATCACAATCTCTGTACAGGGGCAGGGTTCCAATTCCTGTCCCTGAAAAGTGTTAAAGCACGACGTGTACCTGTGTAAGCTTTCTGATCGGGAAAATTTTCGGGGACAATTTTGGCTAGCTGTGGTAAGGCCCGGTAAGGCAGATCACCAACTCCCCAAGTAAAGGTCCCACGAAGGCATGGATCCAGTGATACTCAGTGTTTGCCGGCCTTGTCGGTCTCTTGCTGCCTACCCCTGAGCTGAAGCTCTCTGCAAGAATTCTCGTGATTCTCTGCAGCCTTAGCATCTCTGACCAGATCGAATCCGCACGGCTTCGCCCTGTTGGCAAAGCTTTGCCTGAAGTGCATCACTCAAGTGCTCCCGAAGCCTCAAGAAGGCTTTGCAGCGCAGACTCTGAATGCCCTTGCATTGAACTTACTTGCACCCTTGGTCTTCACTCGCCGTTCGCTTTGTTCGGCCAGAAGTAGTGACGGTCACGCGGCATGCAAAGACCCGCTCCTCTCGGCAGTCAGCGCGGTCCTCACAGCAGTTGAACCACACAAGCCGTGAGGCTTGGCAGAACCACTCGTCGCGCCTCCACGCAGCCACAGCTTGGACCATAAGCAGCTGCCTCATTTACGACTCGCGGGAGTGTGCCAATGATGCAGCCCTGCACCGAATGCCCAACGTGAATGGTTCTGGAAGGACCGGGGCCGTAGCAGGATCTACATCTTTGCAGGCCGTGAATGCGCACCTAGGCGAAGCGCCAAGCATAGGATCACAGGGCTTGTTGGCGCGGCCTTGCGGCACTGCTTATGCCGGACCTTTGACCTCAGCCTTTGGGTCCATGCTGGTCAACTAGTAGCTGCAGAGTGCTTCCATGCAAGCACCAACAAACTAAACAGCCATCGGCACGTTCACGCCAAGGGCCTGCCCAAACCCTCTTCTACATGGACTCAGGCAGTGACATGATCTGCCGCTGGCAAAACATCAGCCGATGGTTGCCGTAATCCACGCGGTAGAAATTCCCAAAGCTGTCCTGTCTTGTAGGATTGTGGCTTAGACATCTGACATGGCAGGTCACATAGAGTAGCATGCTGCATAGTCACGTTTGGAACATGTTTCCTGATAGGCCGAGGCTGCTTTGGGACATGGTTGCATGTGCTGACCCAAAGCTCTGGTTTTGAATATGTGCTGAGCTCCAAGGCGAAGAAACTGTCGGCTGCTGTCGTTGGCAGGATCGGCAGCTGCAGCACCTGAGCGGCTCAAGTCGGCCCCAGTCACCGCAAGACGCTGCAAATGCCTCATCCTCTGGGACTCGCTGTCCCGTGGAGGTGCCGCTGGCAACCTTCGCAATGCAGCGGCTCGCGTCTTGAAGCTTGCCGGCTTGTCGGCCAAAGTCATGCAGTGACCAGATTCTGCTGGAAGCCATGCAGTCGCGAACCTGTAGGACGCGGCTGTTTCCGTAGTCCACCACCTTGTATTGCAGTGCAAAGCAAGCAGAAGTTCTGCATCGTTCGAGCTCATGCAATGGCAAAAGACATGTATCGACCCAGCAGAAGGGCTGATCGTGTGTCTTCCCAGTACTTCTGACTGACTGCTACACTGCTACGCCCTGAGCCGACGGCGTAAAGAAAGCTGTTGTTGAGGTAGATGCCCGCCTAAGCAGTTCAAGTTGGAGTCTTCGGCTCTGCTTCCAGAGACCATCTTCAGCCTAGTAAGTTCCAAGCTTCCTGCAGACTGTTCTCAGAGACACACGAGTGTCACTAGTGACACTCCTGTGAGCTCGTGACTGAGTCATTGCATTGCATCTCTGCGTCTGGCCGGATAACGAAGCTCCGAGAGGCCGTCTCCGGGCCTTACGGGCTTTCCCTCCCGCACAGAGGCCAGCGGAGGGGAACAAAGGTTTAACAGCGGATATGGGCAGAAACACTTCGATTTCTCTTTTGCACCGATTTTGAGAGCGCACTCCGTGTGTGCCTGTGCAGAGATGCAGCCGAGCCCGCACATCCAGTGTGTCCAGTCTATTCCTCTCGTCCTTGTGGTCGTCTCTCCCTCGGTGCTGGCCATCGAAAGTCTGCGAACACTTCGGGCGGCACCGTGCGTAGCTGTGAGCAGTCTGAAGGTGGCATCTGCTCTTCAAGCCTGGATCCTGTTCGCGATGGCTGCCGCCATTTGCTGAGTTCCCACGGTCCCGCCCAGGTCGGGTGTCGTGTGCTTGCCTTCCCTGATAACAGCCGCCAGCGCTTCTTCGAGTGCTCGGCTGGCGGTATGCTCACCAAGGTGCTGGAGCATTCGTGAAGCTGAAAGCAGCATCGACGTGGGATTGGCACGGTCTTGACCAGCAATGTCCGGAGCACTGCCATGGGCAGGTTCAAAGATCGACACGCCTGAATCACCATAAAGGGCTGAAGGAGCGAGGCCCAAGCCTCCGACAAGGCCAGCGGCCAAGTCAGATACAAGATCACCAAAGAGGTTTTCGCAAAGGATGATATCCCAGCTCTGTGGGTGCAATACCATACCCGTAAGCAACGAGTCACACAGCTGCTCGGTGTACTCAATCTCTGGGAAATCGGAGGCTATCTGGCGGCAACATTCTAGAAAGAGTGTATCCGACTTCCGAAGGACGTTGGCTTTGTGTGCTGCAGTGACCTTCTTCCGGCCGTTAGCACGTGCGTACTCGAATGCGAAGGTTGCAACTCGAGTAGCGCCCTGGCATCAGCAAGACATCTGTCAGATGCGACAAGACTTTTTGCAGTCTCGCCAGACTCCGTCCCCCTCCCTCAGTTATATCACAGGACAACGAATAGAACAAGGGCCTAGAGCCACGTGCAGCTTGCAGCCCCTAACAAAACGAAGTGAAGGCCCAGAACCTGCAACAATTAATCCATCCCACGCCGTGCATCATGTGGATGCTTTATCAACACTTCTGCATCGACTCTGAAACACAGCCGATGCAGATGAAACTCGTCTTGCTGAAGGCTAGGCCCAGGCTTGCGATGGCTCGGGTGGGGGAGTTGTCTCACTCAACTGGAGGAGCATCTGCCGATGCCCTCAGGACGACTCCCTTTTGTGAAGAAGACTTGCTCTAAGCGGGACTTCCAACAATGGCCCCAAGAGGATCTCACAAAGGCGCTCACACTCGACCCCCTTCCCTAGTGAAGATGCATCTTTACAAAATCAAATGCACTTGATGGCAAGGCATGCGATAGGACCATCGCCTGGGCTTGTATGGCCAAGGGCCTAGAGCCCAGAGTGATCCGCAGTCTCTCCAGCAGCCCCTCAAAATTAGCGACACGCCTGCCGGGTGATCCGCCTTGTTGCGACCACGCTGTCTGGGCTTTCACACACCTGTCAGCACACTGTGAGGTTTGCGAGCTTAGGACGGTCTGCTTCTGGGTGCTGAGAAAAAACCATGGCCTCCTCTCCAGTGTACATTCCCTCCGTGTTCTCACCTCGATTGAGCGGTCGCAGAGGTTTCAATTCGAATAGCACGGCGTTCACCTTCAGTTTTAGCACTCGCACTCGACGGGTCTGGAAGGGGCTGGGTTCGAGCTCCGAATTTCCGGCTCATTGCGAGCGTTGGCAACAGGCTCATCCGACCTGGTCTTCTGGGCGTATCCCAGAAGTTTCAGTACACACTACTTAGGAGCAGATCACAGACTGCTTGCTGTTCTTCGTGGAAGCGAATTACAATAGACATGTGCTTTCATGCCGCAGAAGCTTGTCGGATGCCTTCCGAGTCACGCACAACCACGACATCAGTTCCCGGAAACTTGGAGCAAGTTCCTGCCAGCTGCGAAATTCTCACTTGCCCGAGGACCTGCCTAGAGAGTGATTGGCTTGATATTGTATAAAGGAGTGGTAAACACAGGGTCCTGCCATTCGTCAAAGAGACGTTCTGTACTAGAAATTTCTGTCGAAACCTTCAGGCATCCACCTTCACATGGTAGGAGAACGGTGCAGGCAATTTTCCGGATCATGCGCTGCAGGGAGCTGGATCGGTATCAGCCCCCTGCTCGATTCGGGTCAGAGTCCCCGATTCAGTGCCCACGTGCCGGGCTAACAGTTCAGATCAAGAGAACAACATGGGCTTGCAAAAGGGGTGTCGGGAACCGAGAAGCCCTGAAAGGAGTGCGTCATGCGGAAACCCAAAATCGTAAACGCAGCAGCTGGTGCGCACCACAAGAAGTGGGCAAGTCAGAAACCCAAGACCTTGAGAGACTAAGAGGAGCAGCCCGTGCGGACACCCAAAGCCCTAACAGGAGTACCTGGTTCCGTAAACTCCAATCAACCAATCCTTAGAATGAGGTGTGAAAACCACCCAGAAGAAAAAGTGGATGGGTGCGGAACCCAAACCGAGAAAGGGGGTGCGAATGCCCAAGTCCTGAAAGAAGTGGGTGGGTGCGAAACCCAAAAACCTTATATAAACCGAGTCAATTATCGCAGAGTGGGTGGGCGCTCAAGACCAAACACCCAAGAAAGGAAAAGGTTTTGGGACAGCTCAAGACCTTAAACTGAGTAGCTGGTGCCCAAACTCGAACTCGCATAGCGAGTGGGGCCGGTGCGAAACCAAAAACCGCACATGGAGCCAACAATTTGCAAACCCGGTGAGGCGAGGTCCTTTAAGGTGGGATGGCCGCCAACGGACGTGTTGCAAAGGGCGGCCTAGGAACCTACCTAGTCTGCCGTGGCCCCAAACCCTGGTCGCCCAGGATTTGGGCATGTGCCTCACGGGTGCAGTCTCCGAGCGCGCATCTTTTGGGCCCTTCCCCCTCCTCCCCCTCCCACGTCTTTTCTTGCCTCACAACAGCATCTCTTTCAGGGTTTAGGGTTTTGTTTAGGGTTTCAGCACTCGCAATTGGGACAAGCCTGGCGAGGTTGAGGCGGCGGGTGTGGGAACGCACCTCTGACTTCCTCGAGGCGACTCTCGCGCTAGTGGTTAAATGAATCGATCGGAGCAGCTGTGCGCACATGTGCACACGCATCAGTCATTTATGTGACGTGTGCTGCCAAGAAGAACAGGACCGGACCATCTCAAAACGAAACTGGCTCCTGGAACTCTAGCCTTGGTACTCGGAAGGAAAGTATGCGGCTCCTTCGAGATACTTGGCCGGTCGAACATTGGCATAGAGCTGAAAGAGCTTGCGGAGGGCCTGATTCGCCTGGAGCACAAAGGTGGCTCTGATTCCAGTATTTCTTGAACTCAGTTGGCTTCACATCGAGCGTACAAAGCAGCAGTGCCAAATATCCGGGATTTACAAAGCATTCTTCCTGACAGTGTCATGCGGTTGCGGCAGGGAATGGCGTGCGGTCTAAATGGCAAAAACCGATTTTGGAAGCCAGGGCTCCGAGGAGAAGCGCCGTCCTGACCAAGCTAGTCTTTCCGAAGTGAGACCGCGCAGTAGCCACACTAAATCTCATCCGACTCACGCGACTTCGGGTACTTCAAGAGAAATCTCTCACTCTTCGCAGAGCAGAGCGATTGCCTGTTTCGATTGTTTGGGTCAGCTTTTGATTCTAGAACGAATCATGGTCTCTGACTTCAGGTCGGCATGCGACACTTGGCCCATGCCGGCATCTATCAACCTATGAACCTACAAGTTGGATGCCAGGCCTCCACGAGGAGTCTGTGAGAGTTTGTCTTGCTTCTTTGGTGGGTGGTTAGCATCCACAGGGGCCTGCTGCGCCATCGAATTCAAACCATGAGTCTCTCCTGAACCTTGCCTTCAGAAGCTCCGCACCTGCTGAAGGCTTGGTAGTGTGAGCTTAACTCACTCCGGTTTCCCTTCTAGGGCCAATTCGCATGCCACACCCGCCCTTTTCGGCTGTCACGCGAGCCTCGAGCACTGCGCCGGGCAGTGTGGACAGCGGGGAGTTTCACACGAGCTGTGCGCGCATGCATGTAACACTCCAAACACAACGCAAACTTCAGCATAAGAAATGTCAGCCATCGCGACGGAGGCTGCTAACGGGACTGACCGAGGAGATGCCGATCTTACCCAGGACCCGACTTTATCTTTGCATATTGCATGGATGGTCGGAAACACAATTCGCGAGAACTCTGCGGACATGATTCCATGATTTTCCAAATCTGCACTGCTGATGAGTGCTAAGTTGGTTTCATGTCATCCACCGACACGACGTCGACGTTGCATCTGCAACTATACCTCCGCGGCCTCTGAGTCCTGAGAGTCAAGCCTGAACCCTGAATTGTGCTCTTCGAAATTCCCAACATGTCAACATTTGTAGAAAGTGTTGCTGTCAGTGGACCTGGAGGCCGTTTGCCGGAATAGTTTCCTTTGCAGCAGCTCCTTGTTGTCTAATAGGAGACTTTAAGCGAGGTATGCAGCATGGTTCGGGACCCTCTGCCGGTAGGAATTAGGAGCCTACTTGGCCGTTTTCTGCTAACACTTCGACTTTTGCCGCCTGTTCGGCTGGCAAACTTGTCTCACCCAGAAACATAACACGTCATGGACGTCTCTAAGCCCACTCATCGACAACCTCCCTGTTTTCAAGGCTCTGCGACCCTTCATGCTAGAGGCGCTTGTCTGCAAGCCAGCAATGGTTCAACACCTGTTGTTCTCAACTCTGATGCGTGTGTGACATGTCGGCTGCTTAGCTCTAGGCGTGTTCTGGTTGGTAACGTTCAGGTCGCTGCATTTACGTTACTTCTTGTGTCAGTGCTAGTTGCAGATTTAAGAAGTCCGACAGTGCCTCGGAGCTCAACTTGTGTCGATGCACTGCCAGCAGGGATGTCGATCGGCCCTTTGAGAACGCACCCGATCCTCGACGTTGTGGGCTGGAAAGCAGGGGCAGAAGGCTGTGCAAGCTTACGTAGCACGGGTGCAACAGAAGCTTAAGCAACTCTTTTTTCAAACATCCTGTCGCATGACCGCATGAGCTACTGCTCCGTCACTTGGCCGAAGTACTGCTCTTTTATAGAGTGGGAAAATCAAAAGGCTTAGCTTGTAGGCCCCTCAAGGCTAAACCCAAATAAATCCCCGGCACTAAAGCTGAAAACGCACCACAAAGCCCAGAAGCGGCCTCCGAAGCTTTGAATTGGAAACCTTGAAACCCAAAGCCCCAGCCCCACACACTGAAGACCGAACAGTGGTGTCTAGTCGAAAAACGCTGGATGGTATCTGGCGATATCGGGTGGGATGTCTCTGCATGGCGAGTATCTCTTCCACAGCTCGCACATGGTCCTCGTTGATTGGGAAGCCCGTCTGGCGAGCACAAGCATTCCCAAAGTCCATGTCTTCGAAGCTGAAGTTTACGCCTGCAGTCAGCGAGAGGTGGCAAGGTCGCAACTGTCAGACAGGAAACCCTGTCTTAGGGCACTTCGTGTACCAGCCTGTGGCTTGCAGGACCAGCTTGGTCGCTTCAAGGAGCTCTCCACCAACACCTCGCAAAGATTCGGGCTGCAGATCTTTCCCTTCGGCAACCTAACCCGTGCGAAATCTTTCCCCCGATTACCCACCTGCCGAAGGACCCAGCCTCGAGACACACCCTCGCACTCGCTATCTTTCACTATGTCCCCTGTGCAGGAGCACACCCCTCCGGGAGTGCTGCTCTATCTTTCACTGGACCTGAGGTCGAGCTCCCCGCTCTTTCCACGGGGCTAAACTCCTGTAAAAGCCGAACGCTGCCGTCAGTCCTGTAGCTCCAAGATTTTCCATTGCAGGCTCTCTCTCGCTCTCGCTGTCCCTCGTCTGTGCTTCCAGAACGATAGCCGAGGTGCCGTCGCCGGCGAGGCAGAGCACCCGGTGTGCATGGAAGCGGCGAAAAGAGCGGCGCATGGCAAAAGCGTCAGGGCTCGAGGCATTACTCACCTCTGCAGATATCTGCATCTGCTGCTAGGGCCTAATCCGGACTAAGCCAAGCTAAACCTTTGTCATCCTTTGTCTGAATGCCGTGATTGTTCGATGTCAGACTACGCTGATCCCGGCTCGCGGCTCGCATCGCTGAGTTTTGACTCATGCAATGCAGCAAAAAGGCAACAACCAGCCAAAAAACGAGGTCCGTGCGTGCCTGTCCCGAAAACCACATTTCCCGTCACCTTAGCATGTCATGCATGAGCATGCGTATGACTGTCCTGCATGACATATGAGGCCAGTTCCAGGCTCACGCAGGCATCACGGCCGAATTGTCCCGACCAGGGACTGGCACAGCTCAGGAGTTCGGGATGCGACCCGCGACAGTATTGTTCCGGTCGACAATGTCACGGCGCCCCGGCCCACCCGGTAGCACGAAACACTTCGTTCTCCACCCCTCGTTGGCATGGTGCGAACGGCTCAGGCTACTGCATCTCTCACCTGTCCCATACCATATCCCTGCTCCGCAAAGAAGCTTCACCTTTCCATGTCCGGGAGGAAGAAACGGCGGCCTCTTAGACCCTCACTTTGAAGGCACGTACTGCGCGGACTTTGGCGAGCTGGGAATCGAATGCTTCCCCGACTTGTTGGCTGGTCACCGTATGTGAAACATTGACGTAGTGATGCTCTGTCACTTGAGAAGTCCAAAACCAAACCAACCACTGCCAGGGGCTTCGCACTGCCCCGAGGCCATGCGACGATCCGGTGATTGGCCTCGGTTCGAGCAGAGATAAGCTGAGGCTGCAAGAGGCAAAGCTTCAGTCTGCAGGCACGCTCTCCATGGCAGTTGGCTTAGCTCAGAACAGTATCAGCAACGTACAGCATGTCAGGGTTTCCCGACCTGAGCCGGCACATGGCTCCTGAAAGCTGTCGGGTCGGTCTCAGAGAGAAGGATCAAGACGAACCAAGTTTGGACTCACATGGCGGAAGTCGACCTCCAAAGTGAAATTCAAACAATGCCAAAACTCGGGTGGTATCAACTGAGGCAGGTACTGGAAAAAAATACCCAGCGGGCTGCTCAACTGCAAAGTTTCATTTGTGGGTGAAATTGCATACCTAAATGACACACGAATCTTGAAATAATGAGTGAAGACCTGGCAGCCATCCCAGCAACCCAACACGGTTCAGAGCCTGGTTTGCCGAAGAACCCACCTCGGCTGCTGTGATTTCAGGTTAATCCCTCAGGGTGTGATTCTCAAGCCTGAGCCTCCGGCACCATTCCCTCCTGCAATTACTTCGTACCTGCCAGACAAGAACAGAAACTTGCCAATGTGCGCTGTCCTTATGCATTGTGCCATGCAGCACGTCTCAGTCCCTTGTGCAGAACCAGCCTGTAGCCTGTCCATCTCACGACAGCTGCCCTGTGTCAACACGGCGGGTGAATGAAAACCAATGCCGCTGCGCTGTTCTAGAGCCATGCAGATGTTGAATTGTGATCGGCACAGAAGACACCCCTACGAACCCATGCCAGCAAGAACAACCGCTTTCGCCGGGTGCCAAGAAACGACGGGAGCGCCTCAAAGAGTCTGCCACAATCAAATCATCGTTTGAATCTGCGTGCACTCCTGGGCCACATAGCAACTCCGATTGTGCGAGGGAGAGGGTTTGGTGTTCTGCCTGCAGAGTTTCGAAATGCTATGGCCCCGATGCTTCGCCGCAAAGCCCTTTGAGGTGTTCCATGCCGAGTTCTGACTGCAAGGCGACGGTGTAAGCTACGACAGCTTCACCGAGCAATGCCACGTCAGATCCGATGCACTGGCACTGCAACCCTCAAGGAGTGTCGCTATCTCTCCCTCGCAAAGTCAGAATGGCGGAGTTCAAAATGTTTGCTGGGGCATCTCAATCGAGCTAAGGCTGACGCCAAGAGGATATCCTGCAGGCGTCATTAGACCCTGGTCGGCAGTTCAGTTTGCTTCTTTCCCCAATGTCAAAAACATGTGGAATTTGGAAGTGCAAACACGACCGGTTGCAAGCAACTGTTATGGCAAGATCCCTTCAACAAGCACCGCCTTGCTTGCATCGGGGAACCTAGGTTTCTCTTTGAATCACACCTGGGGATGCACACTGCCGGCCCGCCTGGCTGCACCATGCACTGAGCAAACAGGTGTCGGTGCCAGAGTGACTCTCCACGCGACCACAAACGCAGATCCTCAAGATGCTGGAAACTGCCACAAACAAGGTACAGGCTTCGGAACCACAAGGTTTTGGGAAACTGGCACAGGTTAACTGCCGGTGAAGGCTGCCTTCAAGCTGAAGGTGCACAGAAGCTATGCTATGGGGAACGCGGCGGATTTCACCTAGAGCCGTAGTCAAACTTAAGGTGTGGCCAAAGCGAATCTACGATGCTTGTGTGGGCGATGCACTGACGGATGCAGATATGCTCACCCGACCGACCTCTTGAGTCGTAGACCGCTCCCGAGCAAGGCAAGCTCTTTGGAGGGATCATGGATCACTGCTCTTACTCTTTGGGAAACCGTGCTTCGGCTGGAGGATCCTGGAAGTCTGAATGGATGCGGCGTTCCAGTTTGACAATTTGAGGGTGGGCGGTGCTGCGTCTTCCTTCTTAGCATTGGCGACCCTTTCATACACCTTCTTGTCTGCAGATGCTGTGAAGCGCTTGTTGTTGTTGTTGTTTTCAGGGCTGAGACCATGGCATTTGGTCTTCCAGTCAATGGAACTGGAAATCCTGATGAAGTTTTTGCCGTGGGCCTCTGGCCAGACATCAGCCCGTCGGTGGCTCGGCCTCCTGCACGTCATCGCATTTTCTTCACGCAGGCACTGGCCAAGAGTGCCGTTCTCCTTTTGCACTGCGTGTGCCGCGACAAAACCGATGAAGATCAGGACAAAAGAGCCGAGAAAACTGCAGAGCCCATTTGCTATTGCCGAAGAGTGGGCTCACCGACAGATACTCCAGCAGGCACTGCCCCGAGCTCAGACCGTGGTCCTGCTGTGTGGGGGCCCTCTGAACCTCTCAAGTGCTCGACGGTCCTAACGGATACGGGGCAATCCGAGTGGGCAATCCTGCTTGGTGGAGATGGGGATGGGGTCTCATGTGCTTGCCGGCTCTAAGCAGTGCGAGGCAGCACAGCGTGGATCGGTCGCATCAGGTAGCTTAGTAATGTTTTCATCTTCGGGTCGGTTTCACACCTAGTGAGTGCTTGGTGCGGTAACATGCCCGCCATGCGTGGAGCCCGCTCGCGCAGCGTTCAATTGCCATTTTTCAGGGTTGATGGTTCCAAACGCTGTCATATCTATAATTTGCAGTGTTTCTGGTTGCCCTCTTTCTCCAAAATGTGTCCGGTTCGGAGGCTCCAAATGTTGTAATTTGCGACTTTCCTTCTGAATCGTAGCCCGCAGCTGCAACCGCAACCTGCTGCCGTTTCACTTCACTTTTCCTGTATTGGAATTTCACCCCGCTACTCAAGCAGCGAAGGCGTCGTGCGGTGTGTTCGCTGCGGACGACATGCTTCTCTCGTCTCATGGAATGATTAATTTCACTACCGCGTTGCTCATAAGCGAAGATGTGTGTAGTCTTTTGCAGTGGTTGTCGTTGGTTTCCGCTCTGAAACAGATGTTTTGTGCTTATGACTTTCAACTTCACCACCCGAGTTGTTGATACACCGAAGACATCTGCACATGTTTCCATTGTCGTGTTATGCTCTCGTTCGGGGCGACATGTTTGTCCAATACGTTTCTTTCCCATGATCTGAGTCAGCTTGCCCGAAAGCGATCCTTTTCGCAAAGCTTCTGCATTCCTCCTGCCAGTAACCACGCAATTAGCATTTGCACTTGCAAGAATAGCAAGATCTACCAAGAATAACAGTGCTGGTGCAAGTGGCGGCTAATGGTCGTAGGGCGATACCAACAGCAGCCATCTGGTAGTGGTACATCGCAAAAACTGATACAGCAGAGTACGACAAGTGCATAGCAATAGCTGTCAAGAACAATAATCGTGACGCTACGTTCAAGTAAACGTGAAGTAGAATTGGGTCTTCAGCCTTGGTTCAGAATGACGTGCTAGGAACACCATGAATCGAATGCAGATGCTAAGTGGTTTGCCATGCCACACATGGGCCCGGCTTACATTGACTCACGCGAAACTTTCCCGCCTTGTTGATCGGCTTTAGGGTATTTTGGGTGATTTGACGGAGAAAATGCTTGCTGCAAGCATGGGGACATGCACATAGCCTATTTGCATTGTCATGACATCTGGAGACTGACGAGTCTAGATCCATGACGTAGTGCCAAACAGAGGTCATGCAAATACTGTCGCGAGACGGTAATTATACTTGTGCCGACACCATCGCCGATAGTCATTTTTTGACACTCACACTCGGACTTTTGCAATGCTTGAAGACAAGACAGAGGGAGTCGGGGAAGCCGAGAGTGTCGGTGTCATACTCTCCTGTAGGTAAGGACCCTTAGATCTCAGTCGTTTCGCTGTGCTTTGTAGGGCTTTGGTTCTGGAATGCATGTTTAGCTTTCTTATTGCTTTAGTCTTCCAACCCCATGGCCCTTGTCCTGATAAATCGAGGACATGTGCAGTTTCCTCTCTTGATATGCAAGGCATGGCATGTTGGGTTTCTCGTCATGTCAGTTTCACACCCCGGAGCTGCCTCTGTGGCGAAGGCGTGTCTGGTATTTGTCTCTTGGTTAAGGAAAAAGCACATTTTTGGTGTCCTGCTGTAGTTTCACCGGCGAGCAACTCAAAAACCGACGACGAGGGTTCACAGGACCAGCGGACTAGGGGACGGGTCCGGAGGACTGTTCCGCCAACGTTACCCCGACAGACCCTGCCGCAGTCAGAGGGACTGAGGAGCGTACTGTTCGGCCAGGGATGCATCACCTGAAGGCTGAAGTGTCAAGATTGCGGAGGAAGCAGCCGAGTGCAGCCACAGGGCTCCGAGCTTCCCGAGCACCCGGCATGTGCCATCGTTTGGTACCGGACAAACTTGGCCTGGAAATTCCGCACCTTGCAACAGGTGTCTTGAGTTCCAGGTCCTGATAGTGCAAAGAAACGCAGAAGAGGGTCAGGCGAAATGCTACGCAGAGCGCCTTATCGGTAATCATCTTAGTGGAACTGATCAAATCTTGTGAATCATCAAGATCCATTAAGCTTGTCCAAGGGACGACAGGCCGCAAGGTCGGCCTTAGTGATTCGTCGCTGTGGCACCGGGCTTCGTTGTCCGTGACTCTGGCTTCGAAATCACATGCTGCTGTTCCAGATCCAGAAGTAAATAACATGGACTTGGAAGGCAGTTGGATACAGGGGGGGACTGTGGTGAAGAGTAGTTCCATGGCAAAGCTAGAACTTGCCAAAACACCTCCTTGACTACAATCTGAAGATGCATACCGTACTGTTCCCAGATGATACACTCAGCTGTGGCATCAAACCTGCACCCGAGATCCAGCAGTGGAAACTCCAAGAAAGACACATCTTGAGAAGAGGCATGCCATGACTTTTTTTGGGCATCCTGCCGATGGCGAGCGAGTGATCTTAAGCACTTGAACACCAAGCTGCTGCCACACTGCTTTAAATTTAAAGCCTATTGAAACAGGCAGCCTCCATGGCCATGACAGAAAGGGAAATTTCCAAAAATAGCAGGGGCTCATACACGAGGACTTCCCAAATGCTGTTGCTTGAGGCCCCTTGCCGTCTTTGGAGAATGACCCAATACTACTCCTACGTTGGATTTATCAAAGCTCCAACGACAAGACTGTACTTGGACGTCAGCTACCTTGCAGTATCTGTGCCCTGCAATCAAAACTGACGAGCACAAAAATCCGCGCATACTGCAACTGTGCGTCGATGCAGTGCATTCGCGATTCACTGAAAACAATTTTTGAGATGAGGGTACCAGGCATTTACTGGTAACCTGCGCATAAAGATGTACCGGAGTCGCGAGGTTTGAGATCTCGTGGCACCGAGTCGAACTCACCACGGGCCGAAGCGTTGCTGCCTGGGGCGGGCTGCCTTCGTGGAGGCCTGGAGAGCCTTCTGGCCCTGGGATTTCAATGCCGCTTGGGCAGCAGCCAGGCGGGCAATTGGAACGCGGAAGGGCGAGCAAGACACGTAGTCCAACCCCGTCTTCTCGCAGAACTCGATCGAAGCTGGATCGCCTCCGTGCTCTCCACAGATGCCCATCTTCATGCCCGAACGGCTGCGGCGACCACGCTCCACTGCGATCTGGATCAGCTCGCCAACACCCTCCTGATCCAGGCTCACAAAGGGATCCTGCTCGACGATACCCTTTGCCTTGTACTCAGGCAGGAAGGCCCCTGCATCATCCCGGCTCAGGCCATACGTAGTCTGGGTCAGATCGTTGGTGCC